GTTGATAAATCAATAATTTTAGGTCTTGTGCCTTCTCAGAGGTTAGGATTTGATTATCAGTGACTTTCTGAACATATCAGGAATTTAACAGGTGAATCAGTAGTTTGTCGAATTAAATATGAATTCTGAGGGTACTTTCACTATCAGGGTCAGTCCGAACCATTTTTACCTCATATGGGTAATTTCAAAATTTATAAACCAGATGATTTCGGTATTAAAACTTTTAGCGAAAATAATTAGAATTTAAATATTCCGAGGTTGATTGATTTATAAGTTAATCACTGAACTTAAAATTATTTCTTATCAATCTTTTAGTATCTTATACTTGTAATTTGAGTCTTATTCAGTTTATTTACTTTTCATCGCATTTGTATCGAGTTTGGAAATATATTAATTATACATTTGTACCAATCATATTTATATATGCATTAACCAATACCAACATGTTCCATAAAACATGTATAAGGTAGTAATATATTACCTTGATTTTCGAGTCATTTCGATCGATCACTTAACTTCATTAAATCGCTTTCGAACTTTAATCCAATGTCCAAAAATATCTTAGATATAAACAAAACGAATTTCATCCTAAATGAAAGCTAATTGCGAAAACGAATCGAATTAAAAGATAAAATGCTGAAAAATAGCTTATCAATATTGCATTTGGCGAAACAGACTTCAGATTCGGACTCAGGGCGTCAAAAAATATAAAAAATGACTTTTCGGGAAAAATTGACATTTTGGTCAAAGTCAACAGTCAACGTACAAGTTAACGGTCAACTATCAGACCAAAGTCAACGATCCAGGTCAAAGGTCAATAGGTCAGACCGATTAGTGTTGACTCGGTTTGGTCCAAGTTGACTCAAAACGATTCAAGAAATCTCGCAGGACCACGAACAAGCCTCACGTACGCTGGACCACATTCAAACATATGCAAAAAAAATTAATTTAACAACCACAAGACAACGAAACAATCAAATAAAGGCGACGAGAAGCTTACCCACGGCGAACGGCGATGAGATAGATTCGAACGACGAACCCGGTCGGAATCTCCTGGGGAGTTCAATGGCAGCGGCGTGGGGACGATCGTGGCGACCAGAAAATGTGTTTAATCGAGGCAGTGGGGGTTTTTTCGGTGGATCTTTAAACGCCCATCCACGATGATCGACGAGCGTTTAGCATCGGGTGTGGCTGAGGTAACTTCGCGGCAGCCTGACGTTTCGATTGGAGGTGGCGGTGACTTGCACCGCCAGTCGGAACGGAAAGCGACGAGGAGAGCGACGAACAGGTGAGGGAAGGTGTTGAATTTGCATTGATCATGCTTTTATGTAGAAAGAATTATTAGAGAAACTTGGAATTTTGGTTGATGTCATGGATGAGTTAACTTCCTCTAAGCTAATTATTGTTACGATGTCAGCAAGTTAAAAAGAAATAATGATTTTGTCACTCCGCAACTAACGATTATAAAGTGGGTAGATTTCTGTCATTCCATATTAGATAGAGAATGGACCTTTACCCTTTGAATATTTGATTACTACACTCAATTAAATAATGAAATGGAAAGAAAAGCAAAATACACATTGGAAGGAGTCAATAGTCTTTTTCTTATACAACTTGGTTTTAATATCAAAATATACCCTTAAATAATTTTATAACTTTTCTAAACTATTCGATGGAAATATTTTATCTTATTAGAGATGTTTATGAATCCTATCAAATTCAAAATAATTTTTAAATTTACTCTATTTTAATTTAAATCATCAAGAAGCTTAAGTAATCTTAAATTCTTATATATTATTTTTAGTTTGAATTAGATGGAACCTATGGAAACGAGTGAACAACTTGACTTCTAATATATGACAAAGGTTATTAAGGTTCATCTCTAAGCAAACAATTAGCCACAAATTACGGCTCTATTATTTTATTTTATTTTATTTTATTTTACAAAGGCTCCATTAATTAATTAGCTTTTAATTAGTTTATTAATTATTATAAGTTGATCTCATTTAAATCGTCAAGTAATCAGAGGTGGTTTTTTTTGGCACTATACTAAATTAAAATTTATAAAAATATTAAAAAAAACGTTTTGATCATTAAAACAGAAAGAATTAACTCAAATCGAGTATCACAACATTAAGAAAAATGTGATTTTTAATTTAAATTTGAAATAAATAAAAAAAGTGGGTTTACTGTTTGATGCTTATGAAGATGCATGTGCACAAGTTCCACTCTTTGTTCAGGTGGTGTGAACCTGATGATTCTAAACAAAACAAATACTTTACGTTTTAAAGCAACCTTTTTGGCATTTAATCTTTATTTTTTTTCAAAGCTTGATGTTTCTGACATATTCTTTTGTAAAACTGATGAGTTTGGTCTGTCTTGTTGTAATTTCAGTGCTGTCGCTTTTTACTTTCCACTTTGAGTTTATTCATAAATCGTGTATACCATCCAGTATAAAATAATTACTTTCAGAACTTTCTGTTGGGTTAATAAACTATTTAGTACTTGAGTTTAGTTTCAATATGTAATTTGATACTTGAGAGTTTTTTTTGTCCCAATTTGATATATAAGTTTGACTTTAAAATTCAGTTTGGTATCCAAACCAAACAATCTAATGAATATTTGACACATGTGCTTTAAGTAAAAAAAAATACAGTACATATTTGGAACAAAATAAAGTTTATGTACTAAATTAAACGTTGAAGCTAAATCCGAGTATTTAAATGCAATGATAAAACCTCAAGTACCAAAATGAAAAAAATTAGGTATTAAATTGAACATTAAAGTCAAATTAAAGTCTCAAATTGAGACCCAAAGAAAAACTCAGATACTAAATTGGACATTAAAGCCAAACTTATGTACCAAATGATATATTAAACCTTTGTGATTTAGAATTTCAAGAAAGCTTGCTGTAGAACCAACATATAGTAACCCTATTGCACTATGTTTAAAGATTATTTCATATAAAAGTATAAAAAGACAAATAACATTAAAACTAATTTAAAATAAAAATATTTTAACTAAATGGATGTCCAATTAACTCATATACTAAATTCAATCAAAATAAATAAATAACTTATTATTTATTTAGTTAAATAGTATAGTAGGAATTGCAAAAGGAATGAAATGTGGAGACGAAGTAGTTGGGAGGAATGTGGAATAGCGGCAGAATTGGGCATTTAACAAAAAGTAGATATTAGTAAACATCAATGGGATGACTACCAATGAACCACTCGTGGTATTTCTTGGTACTGCAGTTGTGTATACATAAATACGATAGATCAATCACTTGCATAAATTGGCGGTCTTAAAAGCCAAATTGGGCAACAACTCTTCATTAACACCCTCTTCCATTAGCGGCAAACGCCATTAATTCAAAGCTATTATTTGATCTCATCCATTCTACCTAATTTCAATGGACGGCATCGCGGGCGAATGGACGGAGCCAATCACCCTTTATTTATTACCATAATGGCCTTTTTGGCCCTTTAGTTTTGTCAGCTTAGTCATGTTAGTCCCTCTATTTTTATTTGTGATTTTTCGCTAAACTTTTATTTTTATTTAATTGATCCAAACATAACTGAGAAATAATGATGATGTTCTTTTCTTTTTGAAATGTTGAATCTAACTTTTTTTTTCGTTTTAAAAATATTAACAATTACAAAAAAAAATGTGTTATAAGCATTTTGTAAGGATAAATTAATTAATTTTTTTTGAAGAAATGACAAAAAATTGTAAATAGTTGACAACATATTTATTTATTTCAAAATGAATTTATATTCATGAAGTGAGAATATATTTTATATAAATACATATTATTAATGAATGATTATAAGTTAAATGATAAATAAATGATTTTTAAATTTTTAATAAAATTATGCTTGTATTTATAATATAATATGCTAGTAAGAACAATTGAAATCGATTATTATAATACATAATCAAATTAATAATATATATAATAAATTTAAATAAATCGTACATAATAAGATTTAAATCAAAATAATAGAAATTCAAACTCATATACTTACGTATTTTTATTTTTCGTTTTCCAGATTATTGGAGAAATACATTCTAATGTGTTTTTGGTTGAGGAAATTTGTATGAAGCTCTCCAGACGTTGTCTTTGAAAACGTTGCCATGAGGAAGGTGGGGGCCAAAATGGAAAGCAAAGGGCAGAAGTGTGGATGACGTTAGGGTAGGCATAAGCATAAGGATAAGGAGCAAAGGTCTCCCCCACGTGCCGGATGTTGGTGGTGGCTAGGTCAAATGCCGGTGCCAATAATGCCACGTGTATGCCTAATATTCCAAAAAACTATCAATTAGTTCTTCAAGTTTGAATGTTTGACCGTTTCATTTCATCATCCCCTATAAAGGCATCCTTTGATTATAACCCCTTACTGGTATCCTTCGCTGACTTTTCCTCCACCTCTCCACGCTCCATTCCAGCGAGAGTCTCCACTCTCCTGCCTTTTTCCCCCTTATCTTTTAGATGATCAAGTGTTTCCAAAGCGGAGACTTTAATATTTCAAGATTTCTTAATTTATATCAATTCCCTTCTATTATTACACTTTTTTCAAGATCCCATGATATTCTTGTAATATTCTGTTTGTAGAGTATCTTGTTTGCCCAAAATCTCATGCTTTAGTTTTTCTTATTTAATCTGATTATTTTTTTAATTTGAAGAGTACTGTACTGTTTCTATTTCTTTTGATCAAGTGATGCGTTCCATCTAAAACATATATATATATAATAGATTTTTTTAATATAAATCAAAGAGGGGCCAAAGATCGAGTAAAAAGTGTGGGTCAGGGCTGAGTAAGACTGGAAATGTTTCCATACTAGAAGCCACTTTTTGCTCCTCCATTGGAAGATGTTTTGTCAAACCTTTCTTTATACAGTGGTTTCTATCTCCCTATCCTCCTATCTTATCATCCTGACTTTTTTTTATACAGATATTATATATAATTCAAACAACATAAAGATATATGAAACCCTTAAAATCCAAAACCAAAAGCATTTGAGACCCCGGCTCTCAAAGTTTTGGTTTTTTTTCTCTCACCTCCTGCCGCTTGAAGCTTCTTTTCCCTCTTTTTGTGCTTCGTGTTCATAATTTCTCCATGTCGGATCATGGCTTTAGAGACTTCTACTACCATGCGAGTGCGTTCAACAATGATCACGATCAGCAAAGTTTTGGTGGTGAAACTGATAGCATATATAGGGCTTCACTATCCTCGGTTGATCCTTCGTACATGAGCTTCACTGATTCTTTACACAGCACTTCCATGGACTACGGTTCACTTGAAAAAGCTTTTGGTCTGTCACCGTCATCGTCGGAAGTGTTTTCTTCGGTCGAAGGAAGCAGCCGGACTATGAAGCAGCAGGTCGGTGTGGAGGATTTAGTAGGTAATACCGGTGAAGTTATGGGAACTCCTAATTCTTCTATTTGTTCTTCCTCAAGCGAGGCTGGCTGTGAAGAAGATTCAGACAAGACTAAGAAAGATGGGCAGCCGAAAGGATCAGAAGATGGAGGCGAAAGCTCAAAGAAAGGGTAAATTAACTATGCCTTTTCGCTTCATTTACATGATATCGGTAACTGATCCAAGGGTGTAAGTGTAATTATCTGTGTTTATTGTATCTAACAGGAAAAAAGCGAAAACGAAAGGAGAGAAAAAGCAAAGAGAACCACGATTTGCTTTCATGACTAAAAGTGAAGTTGATCATCTTGAAGACGGGTATAGATGGAGAAAATATGGTCAAAAGGCCGTGAAGAACAGCCCATATCCGAGGTTTGGTTCTTTCACTACCTTAATTCACAACCAAAGCACATGTCGTAAATAATCGTTATCTTTTAGACAATGAAAAAACACTGCAAAGCCATGTCTGAAACCTTGATCTTTGAATTACATCGCCCCCTTCTTTTGACTACACCAAGAAGAAGAGTCAATATATGAAACTTAACCCGCAAGCAATAACTTGAGGGTTTCAGTTTGCCTTTGCAAGTTACTAAAATTATACTTTTTCTTTTCTTTTCCTTTTTGTTTGATGCTCTCTATTTTAACATGAATAGACTTTGTTGGAAAACAAACACATATTTGTGCAGCTTCTTTATCACTAAGTTACATTTCTGTTTTTTTTTTCAAAAAAAAAAAATCAATGCAGAAGCTACTACAGGTGCACTACTCAAAAGTGTACGGTGAAGAAAAGGGTTGAGAGGTCGTTCCAGGATCCGTCGACCGTAATCACAACATACGAAGGCCAACACAACCACCCACTTCCGACGACACTGAGAGGAAGCGCAGCTGGGCTATTCCCGCCTTCGATGTTAACCCCATCGCCACTGGGGGCGCCAAGCTTCCCACACGAATTGCTCATGCATATGCCTAATTATCATCATCAGATGAATAACCAAGCCGTTGCTGGTTCCATGTTTGCTCAAAACGTTAGCCCTTTTCAGCAGTACGCCCACCAACACCAGGTTCCAGACTACGGACTTCTTCAAGACATGGTTCCTCCCAAGTTCCTTAAACACGAACCATGAGTCAACCAACTCCCTTCACTGTGTATGTATATATACATATATATATAGTATGTAATTTTGCTACTTTTATTACTAGATTCATCTAACTTCTCTCTAGAGCCTAAGAATTATTCTTCAATTACTGGTCTGAAAGGGCCTAACACCAAGGACTAGACGGGAGTGAGATTTTTCTTCTTTTTTCCCCACTTATAACTTGGGTGAGTCTGTTACATAGATTTAGAGGAAGAAACTCTATTGATTATGGTTTGTTTTTGAAGAACAAGAAGCCTGGTTTTAAGAGGATTTGCAGACTTGTAATACTGGATTAATTAAAGTTATTGCATTTTTGTATGCATGTTTGTTTATCATTATCGTTGATGGAATTATTGGTGCAGAATTTGAAAATTATAAATTAATTTACTATATCAACATTTATATATAGCTTGTAATAGCTTAAAAACGTAAATATCGGACAGTTACATGAATTGTTTGATCCAAATTTTCATGGCAAATGACCTAACATTCCCTTAATTTGATATATATATATCATGATCGTTTTATAAAGTAAGTACAAAAAAAATATTATAACCATAAATATACAATCAATGTACGCGACATTTGACGTATTATTTATATTGTTATATTTGACTTGAGAGACGTGGAAGCTACGTTTTCAGTCAAGTCTTGAACGAAATTATTGGAGATTAGTTTCGTGTTGAGATCACCAAATTCAAGGGTATCAAAATAATACAAACCATATAACTCAAATATAAATAATAAAGTATAAAACAAATAATATTGGTGATTAAGAGATTTGTTGTTATTATTTGAGGTATCGGATTTGAGTATCGTATATAATAAAAATATGAACGTTCATTGTCAAATGATTAAAAATCTTTAAATAAATATTACTTTATAATCATCCCAAATTATTTAAAATAAAAGAAACGTGGTGCTCTTTTTGTTTAATATTTTCTATCTAGATGAGTAAAAGAGAAATTTAGTTCTTAATGATTATTGAACCCACAATTTAAGAGAAATGAGATGTATTACTAAGAATTTTCAATCATTTGCTCTAGAAATTATTGATTGATGTAATTTTTTATTTTTTACGATCACTATAAACATTAATATTATTCCAATAAAATAGTGAGAAAATAATAATATTAATAACAATTATTATTGTTAATAGTTCTGAAAATAACGTTTCAAAAAGTATATCCCGATGCCTTCTTAGCATGTTCCATTCTTTTCTTCCACACTATTAAAATAATCGATCGGTATACATAGAAAATATAATTAATTTTTATAATAAACGTTGAATTCACCTGTCTGCAGATATGGCGACTTATATATATATATATATATATATATATATATATATATATATATAAAGGATGACGATTATCCCTGTTGCATAATTAGGGATGGTAAACAGGTGAGTCGGTTGCGGATACCCCTCCACATCTCCATACCCACTTAATATTTTTAAATTTATCACTCGTCCACCATCCATGATAGGTAGAAATTTTCAAATCCAAACCTGCCCACGTGGGTACATTCTCAAATATATCCTCACACCTACTACCTAACTAGAGACGTATCTGACTAGACCCACATGACAACAACTTAAGTTATACATAAACAACAAACATAATGTCGAAACGATTTTTCTTAAAAGGTGAAAAAAGGTGAGATTTAAAAAAAAAACACATTAATTCTTAATTATCTCTTTTTAATTAAAAAAACAAATGCGATTTAAAAGACCTCTCGTTTCGAAAATTTTTGGATTTCCTTTATGATCAAAAAATACGGTTCAAAGAGTCGCCACCAATCTTTGATTAGGGTGTGATTGGGCACCCAAAAATGCTTTGTCATTTTAAATAAAAATTAATTTTAATTAAAACAACAAATTGAGGTCTGCGTTACCAAAATCCGAGTTCGGGAGTCGGTTACGTGTGGGGAAGGATTAGCACCCCCACAACGCCCTAAATCGGTACCTAATCGATTAATTAACGTCTTTGCAATGAACTTTACAAATTCGAATTATTTTGATTTTTGATCCCATAAAATAAAAATGTAAATTTAAAACATTTAAAAAACACTCAAACGAATTAAATTAAAATTATCAAGTCGTTTTAGAAATATAAAGAATGTTCGATTATTTACAAATATCGAGACCAGATCTTAAAGATATAACAACCTTTTCTCGATATATTTAAATAAACGAACATTTCTTTTTCTCTCGTTCCCAAATTTTAGGTGACAAATCAATTTTTTTATTTCACTTTCGGGATACACTTTTAATTTAAAATGGTCAAAACGGCCCTCTAATCAGTTAAGACAGGCCACTCGAGACAATTTTAAATTAAAAGGGTATTACCCTTAGTCCGATTATATAATAGATCAAATTATGCACGTGAGGATATCATACAATTCATGTAAAAAAAATGCCACACGATCACATATACATTGAAGATTAAACAAAAAGAGCTATCATGCAAAGTAATATATTCATAACAAAATTACATACACCTATTTAATAATTTAATATAAGCTTAACACATGTTGTAATCCATTTATGTTGTAATGTATAAGTTAAAAGCATGCTGTAATACACAAAAACAACATACAACATATTAAATGAAACATATTCGATATAAATATATATATAATATTTATGAACTAGTGTTTAATAATAAATAAATAAATAAAACACAAATCAATGATTTAAACGTGATAACATGCAACTTTTGAGGGACTGAAAATCTGATTTTTACCAAACAAAGTCGGTGGCCTAAACTTAATTTACCCAAAACTATTAATATAAAACTTAAATAAATAATAAACCTAAACTAAGCCACCTCTGCCGCTCTCCTTCATTCTCCTTTCTCTACCTCTCTTTCTCTTCTACAGGAGCTTCAAAGCTCTAACCACGACTACCATAACGCATCATAGTTCTCTTCTTCTAAATTCAACGACTACAAGTATACCTTGTTTTGCTCACCTGATGTTTAGAAAACTAAAGAAAATCCAGATTTTCATGCTTTCAACGTCGACCGCACTATTCCAACCAAAGCTTGAACAAAACCGGTAAGATTTCTTTCCTTTCTCCATTCTGTTTTGGGTTATCTTTTGAATGGTTCTAGCTTTAATTCTCTTTCAAAAATTTTCAATCGCATATTTTCTGTGTATTCTCATTTTTATATTAATGAAGTATTCCATTATACTACTTAATGTAAATCTAATCCTAACAGTAAACAACACAACCATCTTAGGGCAATAAGAAAAATTTGAATGCTTACCCCGATGATTATAGCGAGATTCCTCTTTCCAACGAAGTTAACTACTCCCTCCGTTCAGGTAATGGATCAAACTCCTTTCGTTTTTAATTTCTTTAAAATGCTTTGCTTTATGTTGTTGAATTGTTGATCGAAAGAAATGGGTGATGATGTGGTACTTGTATTGCCTTGTTTTGATAAAAGAAACTAAAAAAATAGTAAAGCTTTTTTTGTTTTTGTTCTTCTCTCCGTCCCCCCAAAAAAAATCAATAGGGGAGTCTCTCCTTTATTATTATTTTGATCTCCCCCAGAAAAAACTAACCTTTACAGTTTTTGATTACACCAATATCGTGCCCCTTTCCACTAACAATAACAGCTCCTGATTTTTTGTTAACTCATTTCTCACATTTGTTAACTTCTTCTAATCACTTTTTTTTCAGGGCTTCACGTGGACTGGGCTTGATCATTGGATTGGGCCTCCAACTGCTGCTTCGGGTCTGTTCCGACTTAGCCCCGGACAGAAACGAGCATCTACAGCTGCCCCTCTTTGCTCATTGTCGTGTAACGAGAATAGAGCAAAGATCAAAAGATGATCGAATTTGTCCGGCCATGAGAACTTTAAAAGATTAAACCACTCACTGTTACGTCGGGATAAATGAAACTTAAAAAATCTTCAAATGGCGGGTCTGCTCCCTATTCTTTCAGGGAGTATAAGACTCAAACAATCTTCGGCAAACGTGTCTGCTCCCTATTCAGTCAGGGAGTATAAGACTCAAACAATCTTCGGCAAACGTGTCTGCTCCCTATTCAGTCAGGGAGTATAAGACTTGAACAATCTTCAATAAAACGGATCCGCTCTCTATTCCTTTAGAGAGTATAGAACTCAGAAAATCTTCAATAAATGAGTCCGCTCCCTATTCGTTCAGGGAGTATAGAACTCGAACAATCTTCATAAAATGTGTCCGCTCTCTAATCCTTCAGAGAGTATATAACTTGAACAATCTTCAACGAACTTGCCCGCTCCTTATTCCTTCAGAGAGTATAGGACTCAATCTTCAACGAACTTGTCCGCTCCCTATTCCTTCAGAGAGTATAGGACTCAATCTTCAACGAACTTGTCCGCTCCCTATTCCTTCAGAGAGTATAGGACTCAATCTTCAACGAACTTGTCCGCTCCCTATTCCTTCAGAGAGTATAGGACTCAATCTTCAACGAACTTGTCCGCTCCCTATTCCTTTAGAGAGTATAGGACTCAATCTTCAACGAACTTGTCCGCTCCCTATTCATTCAGAGAGTATAGGACTCAATCTTCAACGAACTTGTCCGCTCCCTATTCATTCAGAGAGTATAGGACTCAATCTTCAACGAACTTGTCCGCTCCCTATTCATTCAGAGAGTATAGGACTCAATCTTCAACGAACTTGTCCGCTCCCTATTCATTCAGAGAGTATAAGACTCAATCTTCAACAAACGAATTTGCTTCACTACTCTTTCGTGAAGGCTTATAGATGATTTGCTTCAAAGGTCAAACCTGAAAATCAAACATTATTCATCATGAATGTATATTTGAAAAATATTATACTAAAAAATTTAGAAGTTGAGAAAATTTTTGAAAATCCATCTCCATCGTGAAAACTTGTCTGGAGCCATTGGATATTTGAATCTGCTTTGACTCAATTTTCGTATAAACATCATTCTTGTCAAAATCTCAAGACCAGTTATCTTCATCTCGATGCTTTCATATCTTCAATCTTCAACTATCCCTGGGAAACCTGTAGATATTTAAGCCATCATGCGATTATGAATGTCATGATCCTACTCATGCCTAAAATGTATGCAATTATGCAATTCAATGCATTTTCTTCTTTGAAGGAACTCTATCTCCTTTTGATCTCGATGGAACTCGGCTTCATCTTGGGCACAGAACGTTTGACCAGTTCACACCAGTTAACAATCTCAATTCCATATTTCTCGGCTTAACAGTACCTTGACTTATTTCTTTCTTGAAACCCGTCAGTACCCATGACCAACTTCTTGATCAATGATAACCTCCTTGAGTCATCTTTTAATGACT